CAGGCTACTTAGTATTATTAGGTGTTAGCTTGCATTATTGTATACATTACCACAATTAAAGAATTTTACTAAGGAGTTCATTACGTTACTTGATTGTACATTTAATACATCTACAGTAACACTTCCTGCATATTCAGACATTTTCTTTCTAGTGTTTGGCCTTTTTAATCCTAACATTTTTTTTCTCCTTTTTACTACAAAACTTATAGAAATAAGGCAATTTTCTAAAATTAGAAGCAAGACTTAGAATAGACTGATATCGGTAATGGATAGCATTATGTTTAATAGGATCATTTTCGCACGCGCCTCAACCGCCGGAGTCGCCAGACGAGCATCGTCTCGCTGGAGGATGTGGATGGCACCGAGACCGTTGACATGCAGGAGGCGCTGGGTATTGCTTCACGGCACGCGCAGTCGCTCTTCACGCCGGACCCAGCTCGTGGCGACCCGACGAACGCACGCCGGTCCCTGCTCGACCCTATTCGCGCAGCGAAATGCTACGATGACGACCGCTCGGACCCTACGTTCGGTCGTCGGCTGCCTCGTCAAGCGAGAGTGGCGCTTGACGAGCCCTTCACCCTCCTCGAGGTTGAAGCGGCGTTGAAGAAGACGGATTCGGGGCGATCACCGGGGCCCTCGGGCATTCCGTACGAGCTCTTCAAGGCGCTGCCAACCTACTTTGCTCCCAAGCTGTTGGACTTGTTCAACTCGATTTGGGAGGGCGGCAAAATGACGGCGTCCTTGGCAGAGGGACTGGTGCGGCTCTTGCCCAAGAATAAACCGGGGGCCAATCTGAAATCACTGGGGGCATACCGACCGATCACATTGCGCGAGACGACCTACAAGGTCCTCAGCAAGGTCTTGGTGGCGCGACTCAATGGGGTGCTCGGCGAGCTTTTACCGCCGGCGCAACACGGTTTCATGCCATCAAGACGTTCAGCGGACGCGGGAAGTCATCTCACTCTCCTTCTCGAAAAACTCAAGTCGCTAGGCACTGATGTTTTCCCCGAGGGCGCCCTCTTGTCTTTGGATCAGCAGAGCGCGTACGATCGGGTCGATCACGCCTGGATCTTCGAGGTCTTTGAGGCCTTTGGGTTCGGTGAGCGTTTCATCTCGCTGCTGCGCGCTCTCTACGATCCCGAGACTCTGGGGGTGCGCTACCTTGTCAATGGGTTCCCCACGGACTTGGTGCGGTTGCTGTGTGGTCTCGGTCAGGGGGATCCCCTCTCGTGCCCGGTTTGGAACATCACGTTCCAGCCCTTCCTCGACGCCCTCGTTCGGCGCGGGATCGCGCTCGACCTGCAGAAGGTGTGGCCAGGGGGGCCGCGTGCGCAGCTTACGCATCTGGCGTTTGCCGACGATGCTGTGGTGGTGGTGGAGTCACCGGCGGCATTGTCGAAGCTGCAAACGCTGTCGCAGACGTGGTACGAGGCTACCAACGGGAAGACCAACACGGACAAGACGCTGGTGCTACCACTCGGACCGAACTGGCTTCGGGACGAGACTGCGCAGGCGCTGCCAACGGTGCAGGAGGGGGAGAGCTTCAAGTGGTGCGGCTATGCCTTCTTTCGCCACGGTGACTCGAAACTGTTTTGGACCCATGTTCTTGACAGGATCAAGGCCAAGACCCGCGCCGCTCGAGACCGGACACTTTCGCCGAGTGGGAAGGTTTTCTATGCCAACGCTCACATCATCTCGACGGTCCTCCACGTGCTGTCCTTCGACATACCGCCTCAATGGTTCATTAAGGCGGCGGAGACGGCACTTACGGACTTTGTCTGGGAGGAGCAGGGCGAAATACCGTCGCTCGCGATTTCGTGTTCCAGGCTCGGGAGGACGGTGGCTTGGGTTTGATTTCGATTGGCGACATCGTTCATTCGGTGGCGCTTCGATTTTGGGATGCTGTGGCGGGCTCGGACGAGGCGATCTGGGCGCCCCTAGCTCGCGAGAGCTGGAGGTGCCTCGTCGCTGCGACCCGCGATTTCAGTCCGTGGGGGTTCTTCAGCAGCACGGCTCGGGTCGAGAAGCTGTATCGCGACTCGACGCGCTGGGGGGCAGTCGTTGCAGCGGCCAGGGTCACAGTTCCAACCATCAAGTCCGAACTCCTTACGCTTCCCGAATTGCTCTCGCTTCCGCCTCGCCTCCCTTCACTCTATGCTGAAGGTGCCCAGCACGCATATGACGATGCGGACGCGGTGGCGAAGTTTGCGCAGATCGCGGACCTGTACTGGAGGGACGAAGGGAAGGGATGGGCTCTGGTTGGTCATCGACGCGGGTTCTGGCAGCACTCTAAGGAACCCGCCCTACAGCACGAGCACGTGTGGTCGCGCGTGGGTCAGTTGCTCAAGGCGAAAGCGTTGCTGCCCAAGACCGCGTTGCGACCTGCTCGGATACCTCTCAAGGAGGCTCCCCGTCCTCGGTGCTTCAACTTCTTTGGGCTCTCCCGACCTTTTACGATTCGCAAGCTTCGTCGGCTTGTGAACAAGGTGCGGTTCCCAGGGAGGGAGGACCGTGTCAAGCGTTTCCCTGATGGGACTTCTCAGAGCGATAGGAAGCGCTTCTGGAGATGGCTTCATGACCGGTTCGCGTCTGCTGTCGAGCAGGACACCCACTGGCGGCTCATGTACGACGTGACGCCGACGCGCAAGAGGCAGCATACTCAGGGTCATGCCTCTTCGCCGACGTGTCTGTTCTGCGGCAACGATGCAGCGGTCATCGAGACGGTGTCCCACTACTTTTTCGAGTGCGCGTACTCGACCAGCTTCTGGGGTGGGGTGCTACGCATTCTGCTTGACAAGCTCGGCATCGAGGATACCGACGTCGATCCGTCGACGTTCACTCCGGAGCAGCTGACTATGGGGCTCCCCCTTTTGCGGGGTCGTGGGAGAACGACCTCGAAATGGATGTGGGTTCGGCTGGCCTGCGCGATCGGCTTCCAGCGGCTGCACCTGCTCCGCTGGCGCGTTCATCAGCGGTTCGAGCTGGACAACGTCGTGGCCCCTCCCTCGCTTCCCAGTGCGCTCAGAGCGTTCGAGCGAGATTTTCTCTCTCGAGCGGGTTTTGTGCCTGGGGTTCGAGATTGGGAGGTGTGATGACCGAGTTAAGTCCTTCCTTCCCATTTTTCTCCCCTCCTTTCCTCCCTTCCTTTTCGGTCAGAAGCTGACTGTCTTGAAACTTGTTGCGCAGTGGAAGGCTGCGCACCTCTCCCTCTCTCTACTTTGCGCAGTAGCGTTTTCGTTCTTGGATGGATCGGCAAGCCGGGTCGATCGTCGTTGCGTTGGAGGCTTTGTGAAGTTCTCCCCTCTCTTTCCCCTTTCTCCCTTCCCTTCCTCTTCTCGTTCCTGTTGCTCGGTTGTTGACTACGCTTCAGCCACTTCTCCTTTTATTCCTAAGCCGTGTGTTGGATTCCGTCGAATGGATCGTTCGTTCGCGTTGGTCAAGATCTACGGCATGGATCGGGAAGAAAGGTCGCTCGTTTTTTTGGTCAATATCCTCGCGTCAAGGCGAGGCTGTTTCGTTGTATTGGATCGTTTTCGCTCGGCCCCGACGGCTCAACAGCCAGCACTCGAGACTCAGCCAAGGGAGGACATCAGGCGCTGTCGGGTGACGAGTAGCTGGGGCTTGGCTGCGGCCTGTCAGTCCCTGGGGACCTCTAGCTCTGGCTTCGACCCCCTCCCTTGGCCCCTCGGGTGTGTTCCCCTCCTCCTCCCCTCCTCTCTGTCTTAGTATTCCTGGTTCTCCGTGTTTCCAGTCGTGAATTTTGTATATTCTCCCCTTTTCTTTCTCTAGGCGCTCTTGCCTGGTTTTCGAGTATCTTCGCTCCCGCTCTTGGGACGTGAAGCGGCAGCAGTACTCACCGCCCGTTGGAGTCCGCGTTAGGTGCTCGGCGGGTTTTGATCTGCGCAGCGCTCTTTGCGCGCAGGGTTTGACTTTCACCCAATTGCTTGCCGTCGTTGCTTTATAACCCTTTTAGCTCTTTTTGTAGCGGTCCCAGCCAACCCGAAGGATTGCAATTTATGAGCCCCAGTAAAAAAAAAAAAAAAAAAAAAAAAAAAAAGCGTGATTTAAAAGAGTCAACAATGGCATCCCTGGATGGGACCGCTGCGACACCGACGTTGATACGCAGCTCGACCATGTTGTGGTAGAAGTGGTGGGCCTTTGCGAAGTGAGCCTTTGCAGAGTGCCAAGTAAGCGCCAGTGGGGCCGTAAGCGCCGAGTCACGTGCCTTCGCCGAAACGAATCCCACGGAGATACGGTGGTTGACCACACCGGCCCTGACGAAAGACGAGTGTTGGATACCCCTAATCTGGGGCGCAAACGCCGCAAGGTGCTCGGAAGGGTGACCTCGGCGTCGAAGCACAGGGGCGATTGCGGGGAGAGCAGTCTCGTGACGCAACCGAGCAGATCGGCCTTGTCCGCGGGAGAGGCCTTCGAGGCGCCTTGGACGGTCAAAGTGACGTCGAGAGCAAAGTCGAAGATGTTTCGAATGGATCGATTGGCGTTGAGAGCCGAATACTTGAGCGATGTAGCGGTAGCGACAGGGTACTCGTCGGTGGCGAAGGTGGCTTGCAACCACCGGTCGGTGCGATTGCCCGGTACAGCACCCATGACTTCGAACATTTGGGTCAAAGCCTTGGCACGTGTTGTTGTTGGGTCTGCTGCTCGGGAGTCTGCTTGGTCTTTGAATCGCGGCGGTGGCGTAGGTCGCGGCGGCGATGGGACTTGCGTCTCCTTTGTCCCAAACGCTCGTCGCGCGGACGCCCGGTCTCGCCGGTCTCCATGCTAATGTAGGCTTATCACTTGTAGCTTCGAAGGTGGTGGGTGGCGCGACCCGTGATCCACGTCGATAACGACTCGGCCTATGCGCACTTGGCGGCGAGTTTTCGGCCTTATACCGCTTCGACAGACGACGCCCTTTTCAAAGCCCCTAAACAACACGCTGAAGGAGCTCCTACCGTCGAAGGTCTCTCTAGCCACTAGAGGCAACATGCATACGGCGGTTCGTCACGACTACGAACGAGAAGCGGCCTGTGCTCGGTGCCACTTTGTGGGCATGTGGAACCTGCGCGCTGGAACAGGAAGGAGGCAGAAGGAAGCGAACAACAACACCGGAAGGCACAACAAGTACCACAACAACCCAACCAACACCAACAACAACAACAACGACACCACCAACACCAACAACACCGACAACGACGCTTCCGAGGTTGTGGCCCCTAGCCGCGCCCTCGGAACCGACCAACTCGAATCGCGGAACCGATTTGCGGGGCTCGAGGTCGAAGGAGGACAGGAGGATGACGTCGAGGAGGAGGATGCAGGAAAGGAGGGCGAGGAAAAAGGAGCAGGTCGAAGAAGGAACGAGGATACGGGCGCCAAGGCCGGACGACGAGATTCGGACTCGGATGGGAACGCCGGAGCGGGCATCGACAAGGCGGGAGGCGACGACAAGGACGACGACAAGGACGAACAGGACGACAGCTCGGAGGGAAGCGAACAAAGGGAGGACGAAGGAAACGATGGGGATGACGTGATGAAAGATGGAGCAGAGGAGGAGGACGAAGGGACGGAGACGGAGGTGGAAGAAGAGGTCGAGCAGGAACAGGGGGTACAGGACGACAGCATCATGATCATCGACGACGACCAAACGACGATCACCACGGTTTCCCGCGAGTCGACTCCTCGGAGTCCCTCGTGGCCTCCACTATCTCCTGAGACGTTGGCAAAGTCGCTGCGCGAGGGTGCGGAGTGGGACCGAGCTAACGCCGAAGCTGCTGCACGTGTCCAAGCAGAAAAGAGGCGATCATCAACGCCCCAACTCGACGCGGAGGAACCGCTCGTTCGCCACCAATTGCAGAGTGGGTCAGGAAGATGGACAACTGCGATTCATCAACATTCGTGGCACCGGCTCCGGGTCGAACAAGAAGATGAAGAGGTCGCAAACGGTGGCCGATCTCAGCGATCCGAGCGACGACCCGGTCGATATCAAGCGCGTTCTGAACAGGGTCAAAGGTCGAGCAGGAAAGGAGGTAGCGGGTCAGGGAAGAGGGTGACGAGGTCGATGTCGGCGGCGGCGGCGATGCAGGTCGAGGGGCCAAGGCGAAAGCGGAGAAGGGTAAAGGGGTGGAGGAGGAGAAGCGCTGGTCCGACCACGAGCCCGAGGATGACATTCTCCCCGAATTCCCACTCTTTGAGGACGACACTACCGCCAAGAGCACGTCTACATCGTCTATCCAATAATGATCAAGCACACCATCACCACTGGAACGTGAGGAGGTGCATGGGGATCCCGGAAAAGCGACGCAACATTTACACCTATTTATCAACATTCAAAGCATCCGCCATTCTACTACAAGAACACTTCATCAAACCGGAACTCTGGCAATGTATCAAGGACGAGTACGAGGGCAAGGTCTTCATCAGCAAACACTGTCTGACTCTGATCCCCGCCGACTCGCCCCTGACGACGCCGAGATTTTGCGCACCCACTCGGCACTCGACGGACGAATCCTGGTCACCTCCTTCGACTCGAGGCGACATCCGGATACTCGAGATCAACAACATTACGCACCAGTCCGATACAAAACAACGACTCACATTCTTTGACAAACTACATTTCCACAGGACGCAGAGCACCCACCTTCGACTCCTCGGCGGCGATCTCAACGACTGCCCGCTGCCGGCGATCGATCGGCGGAACCAAGGTCGGCACGGCCATCACTGGCCGATCCTGATCGGCAAGCTCGACTCGCCCTACACCGACTGCATACGATTCAAACACCCGCTCACACCATCTTTCACTCGACCCAACATCGTCCGCAAGCGACCAAAGTCCTTTTCACGACTTGACTACTTCCTTCTGCAGCGCACCCACCAAAAGCGACTCGTCCAAGCCTCGACGATCTACGACCACCCCAAGGACCTTTCGGATCACCGACCGGTCTCGATCGTCCTAGTTCTCTCGGATGAGCGAGGAGACGCGGCTCAACCCAACAACAGTTTACCAACGACATCAAACCAATTACATCGTATCAACGCGGCGACCTTCAAGACGGCGGAGTTCCAGGGGATGTTGGAAGGATGGTTGGAAGGAGCGAGTGGGAGGAACCGGTGGGGGAGCTCGAGGTGGTGCTGGGGAACTGCGCGAAGGAGGGTCGGGAGCTGGCGAGGAGGGAGCATCGGGAGCGGGTGGAGCGGATGGCGGTCTTGGTGGGAAGGGTGCAGGATCTGGAGCGTTGCCGGTGATGGGGGACGAGGAGACGGCCGAATGGACGCGGACGACGGAGAACTTAGGCGAGCGGTCAACGAGCGCGGCGCGCCAACTTCGGATCCGAGCCCACGTACCCGAAATCGCTACCGAGGAACGACTGTCGCGGCCGGTCCACGCCAAGCTCGCGGCACGGAGTTCGGATTCCAAGATCACAGCACTGCGATTGCCCAACGGAGAGCTGACACATGACATTGACGTCGCGCTTGACCACACACAGGCGCACTTTCAGCGCCTCTACGATCTCGAGCCGCGCGATCGGGACCACGTCGAGCGACTTAGGGACGATTTCTTGGCGCCGATCAGGTCGGCGCGCACTTGCGATGACCCGAGCTCGGACCCGCTCTTTCTGCGACGACTCTCGGAAGCGCACATCGAGCTGCTGCAGCAACCCATCACCGAGGACGAGGTCGTAGCCGCAATCGCAACAACACACCCCGGTCGATCGCCGGGTCCATCTGGCGTGCCCTACGAGCTCTATCACACAGCGCCGCGGGCGTGGGCCAAGGCGCTGAGCAGGGCCTTCAACGCGATGACCGAGCGCGGCTCGCTTTCACCGAAGCAGGGGCAAGGACTCGCTCGCCTGCTCTTCAAGCACCACAAGATCGGGGCCGATCGCGCCGAGCTCTCGTCGTACCGGCCCATCACCTTGCGCGAGTGCGACTACAAGCTCTTCACCAAGGTCTACGTTGCGCGACTCAACCACGTGCTGCCGGACCTGCTCCCACCGCAACAGCACGGCTTCGTCAAGGGCCGCCGATCGGCGGACGCGTCATCCACCTGCGACTCTTGATCGAGGAGCTGGGCGCGCGCGGCACCGAGTTCCCTGACGCGGCGCTCTTGTCTCTTGACCAATCGTCGGCTTACGACCTCGTCGAGCACGAATGGATCTTCGCCATCTTCGACGCTCTCGGCGCTCCTGCCGCCTTCCAACGCGTTCTGAGGATGCTCTACTCGGGTGACTCAACCACGGCGCGATATATCATCAACGGCTTCTTGACTCCGCCGGTGCGGCTGACGTGTGGGCTCGGCCAAGGGGACCCGGCGTCGTCGTCGGTCTGGGATGTCGTGTTCCAGCCGTTCCTGGATGCTCTGCACCGTCGAGGCATCGCGCTGAACCTCTCGCTTCCTACCATTCACCCCTACCCACAGAGCCGCGCCATTACATCCCTTGCGTTTGCCGATGACGTCGTCGTCGCCGTCGCGGGCTCGGAGTCACTCAACTTGCTCGACGACCTGGCGCTCGACTGGAGGCTCGCAACCAATGGCCGGCTCAACACCGACAAGACCGTCGTACTACCCATCGGGTGTCGCTGGGAGGCTGGCGATCGTCCGCTCGTCGTCAAGGCCGAGGGCGAGTCGCTCGAGTGGATCGGCCTATCTTTCGACCCCACCGGCAACACCGAACTCGCCAACGTGAATCTCGTCGCACGGCTCGAAGCGGTGCTCGATTCGGCACGGGACCGAGGGCTCACACACCACACCCGAGCGTTCTACGTCAACCGATACGCCATTCCAAGATTCTGCACATCCTCTCCGCCGAATCCCACCGCTCGAGGTCGTCAAGGAGCTTGATCGCATTCTCGCCGACTTTGTCCGCGGCGGCAAGAGGAGGTCGTGCTATGGCAAGGACGTCGTCTTCACACCGAGGTTCAAGGGGGGTCTTGGGGTCATGCGGATGCAGGACGTCGTCGACTCGGTTGCGGCACGCGTCTGGACGTGCTTCTTGGCGGTTCGGATGCGATCTGGCAGGGACTTGCGCGCGCGGCGATTGTACGAGCCCATCCCGCCCCCGACTTTGACTTGGCAACCGATGCGTGGCCTTGCGACTACACTCCGATCCGAACCGATCTACACCAAGATGGCAGGCCGTGCTGAAGGTACATCGACGCACAATGCGCAAGTCAAGCCGAGGACGTTGACGCTCGCGAACCTTCTCGCTCTTCCGATCAAGTTGCACACCCTTCACTACCTACCGGGAGCACCACTGTGTCGCGACCACCCTACGACGCCGACTATGCTGCGTTTGCCATTTACGCCAAGGTAGCGGACCTGTTTCGACGCGAGCTGTACCCGGCGGGGGCTTTCATCTCTGGACGCCGCCGACGGATGTGGTCGTCAGCAACAGCGAATACGATCAACGGGGCCGCCCACAACGAGAGCCACATCGTGGCATGGTACCGACATGCGATCAATCGATTGAGGTTCACACCAATAGCTCAACCGGTGGCGGCAGTACGATCAACGGGCCTCCCCGAGTCCGCCCACCACGCCGCTCGAGTCGATCCTGCCCCATCCGATCGACCCGCCGCAGCGCCTTCCGAGACCGGCTCTCCCAGACCAATCAACACAATACAACTTGCTCAGCATGGATCGGCCATACACCATCCGTCGCGTCCGCCGAGTCTTGAATGCAAAGGCCTTCACCGACACGATCGGTTTCAGGGACTCGCTGCAGCCCGACGATCTCAAGGGATTCTGGAAGGGGGTCAACTCGAAGGCATTGACGGCGAGGGAACGCGAGGTGTGGTTCAAGCTCGTCAGGAACTTCACCCCGACTCGGAGTCTGCAGTTTCATCAAAAGCACGACGACTCGCCCGCGTGCCTCGTCTGTGGAGCGCCCAAGGACGATCGGGAGCACTACTTCTCGACTGCGTTGACTCTAGGAACGTTTGGATCGCGGCAAGGGGCGTGCTCTGCGACGCACTGGGGCTCGACACGATCGACAACACGCATTACACGGCCGTTCAACGCATTGTTCGGACTTCCGAAGCTCAAGGCCAGTCTGCGCGATCAGAAGGAGCGGGGAGGACGATCGAAATATTCACCGGGCTGGTCTTGGAGATGATCAGCAGCGGGAGGTGGGGGATGCAGAAGTGGGGGACGAGGATGGAGGGTGTTGGGAGGAGGAGGATAATCTTGGAGGAGAGGTTGAAGCTGAGGGCGGGAGGAGCTTGGGGAGGAGAAGGCAGTAGAGGCTGGGTTCGACTTTCCCCCCACCACCACACACACACCAAATTCTCGTGACATCATTTTCTCCTACTGTACACTAAATAGCTCGCTTTCCTCTTTCTTTGTTACAGGTTCACCGTTGCGGATCATGGACCATCTCGCGATTTGGCGTCGACTCGGTGTGGCTCGCGCTCTTCGGCTTCGGGGTTCTGAGTCAAGGGAGGATCAGCGGACACAGCAGAAAGTCGGCTTTGAGGGCCAGGGACTGCCGAGGGGAGGTTTTGAGGGACCTTCACCGCGTCTTGTTGTGACTGAGCAGAGACTTGGAGCGTCGAGGTCGTGGTGGTTGCGCAGTCGTGCTCTTGTCTTCGTCTCGACCGAGTGGGAAGTGGCTGTGGGGTGGGCCTTCTGTCGTTAGTACATTTCTTTTTTTCTTTCTCTTTCTCTTTCTCTTCATCTCTCTTTCTCTCTCTCATTCGTCTCCTGGGGGGGAGCAACCGCTTGGCTAGGGCATTTGAATCCGAATCTCGGATTGGTGGACTTGGCTCGTTTCTCGCACTTTTGCGGGCGGTTTGTGTTATCATCGTAGTCTTCCATCTAGTTTTTCCGTAGGCCGAAACAGGGGGAACAGGAATTGGGGGCAATATGATGAACGAAATGGAAAAAAAGCACTTCACTTCACTTCACTTCACTTCACTTCACTTCACTTCACAATCGCCCTACTGCAGCCTTCGATACTCGAGTTAACAAGTGATACACCGACAAGATGTCTACCGGAGACCCTGGGTCCCCACTGCCGGCACCGCCACCACCGGTATCCGCCACCAGCGTCCAGCCCCCCGCGACCGGATCCCGATAAGCTCGAAGAAGACGCAAGTCACGGGCCCCGCCACCGCCGCACCCAACTATGCTGCCGCTGCGAGTCAGATGGCGGCTCAAACACCTGAACAACAGCAACAACAACAACAGCGTGCCAAGGCTCTGGGCAGCCTCCTACAAGCCATGGGTGCTGTACCCGGAAACCGCATGGATCGCTGGGTCCAGGCCATCTACTTCGCCGAACTCTACCCCGTCGCCACCGCCACATCGCTGAAATTTTCGGCCTTGAACGCGAACCGGTCCGTCCGAGAACATCTTCGATTACGCCCTTGAAGTGACTCTGTCTCACCAGAGCGCCTCGCGAGCGACTCATGCCGACAAGATCGATCTCGTGGCCTGCGTCACGAGGCTGCTATCGCCCATCTCTCCCTATCTGCTTTGAGCCTGGATTCCTCTGCCGGACCATCTTGCGGCTTATCAACCACAGATCTAGGCGTACAACATTCATCAATCCTGCGTAATGGGGCGGCTCACCATCGCGTTACGGTTGGGTTCGTCACCGGCGAGGCACGTGACGCGGCGCTCACGACGCCCCCCGCTCTCACTTGGCGATCGGCGAAGGCCCGCTTCGCGAAGTCTCACAGGTTCCACCATAACATGGTCGAGCTTCGAATCAACGTCGGTGTTCAAGGAGTGCCCTCCATGGATGCCATCATCAAATCGTTCCAATCACTTGTCAAGACCTGTCAGCCAAGGGACATTCATGCAACTTTGCAGGTTCTGCGCGTTATCAGCGTGGACAACGCCTCGGCCTTCGCCCACGTTGCCGGAGACTACTCGGCTTTCCTACACTTCGATGACGACTCCCTATTCCAACGCCCCAACACGACCTTGAAGGAGATTCTACCTTCGAGGATCGACCTTCCCACTCGAGGCATCCCGGTTACCGCCCTTCGCCATGACTATGAGAAGGAGGCGGCTTGCGGTAGGTGCCACTTTGTGGTCACGTGGAACCTGCGGACTGGATCAGGAGAGGAAGCGGAAGGAGGCTCACAACGGCATCATCAACAGCAACAAAAACACCATCACCCACAACACCAACATCGCGGAGGCCGAGGCCCCCATTCCTGTGCTGGTTGTTAACAGGATCGCATCACAGAATCACTTCGCCGGGCTCGAGGTCGAGGAGGGACAGGAGGAAGAGGTAACTGGCCAGGGCGAACAGGGACCGGAGGAATCGGGGAGGAAGACGCTGGTGATAAGGCGGATGACGAGGACTCGGAGGACTCGGAGATGGAATCGGAGGCGGCCGCGAAAACGGAGGTCATCAAAATTGAAAGCGAGGACGAGTCGGTCTTGGAGGACTGCAGCGGATCCGATGGAGAGGTGATTGATGAGAATGAGGTGATGGCGGATGAAAGAGGTGAAACGGAAGGAGAGGTGGCTACGGAGATGGAGGAAGAGGAGGTGGCGACGGAGGTGGGCGATGTGGACGAAGCGAGGGGATCGACGAAAGCGGAGAATGCGGAAGCGACGGACTTAGGGGAAACGAACAGGCTGGACAATGACGACGACAGCGACGCCACAGCAACCGCCGCCACCGCTTCCCGCGAATCGACGCCGCATGAACCAACCCCACCTCTGTCACCCGAAACTCTCGCCAAGTCGCTACGCGAGGGGAGGAGTGGGACAGGATCAGAGCTAACTGGGTTGAGCAGGCACGACTTGAGCGGGACCAAAGCATCGAGAGGAGGCTCAACGCTGAAACCCCTCTGGTGCGTCACAACTTTGCCACGTGGGACGAGGACGGTGAGATACGCTCCATCAACATCAGGGGGACCGCTGCGAAGTTCAAGAAGCAGGTGATGAAGAGGTCGCAGACTGCGGCGGACCTCAGTGACCCAAGTGACGAACCGACCGACGCCAAGCGAGTCATCATCAAAGGGAAGAGCCGCGTCGTGGTGAAGGATGGAATAGAGGGGCGGAGGGTGACGAGGTCGATGTCGGCGGCAGCGGCGATGCAGGTCGAGGTGACGAAGGTGGACAGAGGGAAAGGAAGAGGGGTAGCTGAGGAAAAACGATGGTCCGACCACGAGCCCGAGGACGATGTCCTGCCCGCCCTTCCCCTCTTTGAGGACGTCACCACCGCCAAGAGCGCCTCGACCTCGACTACCCATTAATGATCAAGCACACCATCATCACCTGGAACGTAAGAAGGGGCATGGGGGTCCCGGAAAAACGACGTAATATCTACACCTACCTTTCCACATTCAAAGCTTCCGCGATTCTCTTACAAGAGCATTTCATCAGACCACAATTCTGGCAGCTCATCAAGGACGAGTACGAGGGCAAGCTCTTCATCAACCAGCACTGCCTGACCCTGATCCCGGCCGACTCGCCCCTGATCGACGCCGAGCTCTTGCGCACCCACTCGGCACTCGACGGCCGGCTCCTCGTCACCTCCTTTCGTCTTGACATCAAAATTCTAGAAATCAATAACCTCTACGCGCCCGTTGACCCAAAACAACGAGCAAAATTCTTCGACAAACTGATCCTCCACAAAACACAGAAATCCCACCTCCGACTCCTTGGCGGCGATCTCAACGACTGCCCGCGCCCAGAAGTCGATCGGCGGAACCAAAGTCGGCGCGGCCACCACTGGCCGATTCTGATGGGCAAGCTCGACTCGGCCTACACGGACTGCATCCGCTACAAGCACCCCATCACCCCATCTTTCACTCGACCTAATCCCAATCGCAAGCGACCCAACTCCTTCTCCCGGCTTGACTACTTTCTCCTACAAAGAGCTCACCAAAAAAGGCTCGACCAGGCCTCGACGATCTACGACTATCCCAAGGATCTTTCCGATCACCGACCGGTCTTGATCGTACTGGCTCTCTCAGACGATCTTGATGCGGCTCTCCCACAGCTCAGCCTACCTACCACATCCAACCAACTACATCGAATCAATACCACAACCTTCAAGACGGTGGAATTTCAGCGGATGATGGAAGGATGGTTGGAAGGGGCAAGCGGGGAGGATCCGGTGCGAGAGCTTGAGGAGGTTCTGGAGGCGTGCAGGGACAGGGGTGGGGAGATGGCGAGGAGGCTGCATCGGGAGCGGACGGAACGGATGGAGTATTTGGTGGGGAGGGTGCAGGATCTGGAGGCGTTACCGGTATGGGGGGAGGCGGAAACGGCAGAATGGACAAGGACGTCCGAGGAACTCAAGCGGGCGGTCGAGGAGCGCGCGCGCCTACTCCGGATCCGAGCCCACGTCCCCGAGATCGCTTCCGAGGAACGACTGTCGCGGCCGGTCCACGCCAAGCTCGCGGCGCGGAACTCGGACTCCAAGATCACAGCACTGCGCTTGGGCAACGGAGAGCTAACGCATGACATTGATGTCGCTCTTGACCACACGCAGGCGCATTTCCAGCGCCTCTACCACATCGAGCCTCGTGATCCGGAACGCGTCGACCGACTTCGGGACGAACTCCTCGTGCCGATCAGGGCGGCACGGACTTGCGACGACCCGCGCTCAGATCCGCTCTTTCTGCGCCGACTCTCGGAAGCGCAGATTGATCTCCTCCAGCAACCCATCACCGAGGACGAGGTCGTGGCCGCGATCGGGACGACGCACCCGGGGCGATCGCCGGGCCCGTCGGGCGTGCCTTACGAACTCTATCAGACCGCACCGGAGGCGTGGTCCAAGGTGCTGACCAAGGCCTACAACGCGATGATCGAGCGCGGTTCACTCTCTCCCAAGCAGGGCCAGGGACTCGTGCGCCTCATCTTCAAGCGCCACAAGAAGAATGCCGATCGCGCCGAACTCTCGTCGTATCGCCCCATCACCCTGCGCGAGTGCGATTACAAGATTTTTACCAAGGTCTACGTCGCCCGATTGAACCAAATTCTGCCCGATCTCCTCCCGCCGCAGCAGCACGGCTTCGTCAAGGACCGCCGATCGGCCGACGCTGCACTACACCTTCGTCTCCTGATCGAGGAACTTGGCGCGCGCAGGACCGAGTTCCCCGCGGCCGCGCTCTTGTCTCTTGACCAATCATCCGCCTACGACCTCGTCGAGCATGACTGGATCTTTGCCATCTTCGACGCTCTGGGCGCTCCTACCACCTTTCTTCGCGTGCTGAGGATGCTCTACTCGGGTGACTCGACCTCGGCGCGCTACATCATCAATGGGTTCCTGACGGCGCCGGTGCGACTGACGTGTGGGCTCGGCCAAGGGACCCGGCGTCATCGTCGGTCTGGGACATCGTGTTTCAGCCGTTCCTGGATGCTCTACACCGTCGAAACATCGCGCTGAATCTCTCCATACCTGCACTTCATCCGTACCCACAGAGCCGCGCCATTACATCACTTGCATTTGCCGATGACGTTGTCGTCGCCGTCGCGGGCTTGGAGTCACTCAACTTGCTCGATGACCTGGCGCTCGACTGGAGGCATGCAACGAATGGCCGGCTCAACACGGACAAGACGGTCGTCCTACCGATTGGACGTCGCTGGGACCCTGGGGAACGGCCAATCGTCGTCAAGGCCGCAGGCGAGTCGCTCGAGTGGATCGGCCTCCCTTCGACCCCAGCGGCGACACCGAACTCGCCTACGCGAATCTCATCGAACGGCTCGAGCGACGCTGGAAGCGGTTCAGCATCGCTGGCTCACGCACCACACCCGTGCCTTTTACGTCAATCGGTACGCCATTCCCAAGATCCTGCATTTCCTTGCAGCCGACATCCCGCCGCCCGAAGTCGTCAAGAAGCTCGATGACATGCTCGTCGATTTCGTCCGTGGGGGCAAGGGCAGGACCAGCTACGGCAGAGACATTGTGTTCACGAGACATTGTGTTCACCGCCAAGAACAAGGGGGACTCGGGGTGATAAGGATGCGGGACGTTGTGGACGCGGTTGCGGCACGGCTCTGGGACGTTCTTCTCGGCGGTTCCGGCGCGATTTGGCAAGGACTTGCGCGCGCAGCACTCCAGCGAGCTCAGCCCGACCTCGACCTGGCCACCGATCTCTGGCCACATCCATCCACTCCCATCCCCAACGACCTTCATCCCCGATGGCACGCCGCACTGGGCGTTCCGAAACTTCACGACGCGCAGGTCAACCCGAGGGCCTTGACCACCGCGAACCTGCTCGCGCTGCCCACCCTGCTCGGCAGCCTCACACCCCCATCAGAGGGAGACAGACCATCGACGCGGTTCATGTACCTGACTACCTTCGTCTCCAGGGCTACCCGAAGGTGGCGGATCTCTATCGGCGCGAGTTGTATGCGGGTGGGGGGTTTCACCTCTGGACGCCGCCGGCGGATGTGCTCGGCGACAACAGCGAGTACGATCGACGCGGGCTCCCGCAGCGACTGGCAATCGCGGCCTGGTACCGGTTCACTGTCGATCGACACAAGAACACCCCCTTGGCGGCGGCGGTGGCGGGCGGGACGACTCAACTGCCTCCCCGGATCGGCACCAGCGCACCACTCGAGGCGATCATCCCCAAGCCCGTGGCCCGCTTCGCAATGGAGCAGCGCCTTCCGGACCCGGTGCTTCCACAACAGGCGAGCCAGTATACGCTGCTGAACATGGCTCGCCCCTACACAGTCCGTCGCATCCGCCGGGTCCTGAACGCGAAGGCATTTACCAACATGCTCGGGCTCAAGGGACCACCGCAGCCGGACGACCTCAGGAGCTTCTGGAAGGCAGTCAACTCGAAGGCACTGACAGCGAGGGAGAGGGAAGTTTGGTTCAAGCTGATCCTCCGCTTCACCCGACGCGCAAGCTCCAGCACGAGCAAAAGCATGACACTTCTCCCGCGTGCCTCGTGTGCGAAGCGCCGGTGGACGACACCGATCACTACTTCTTCGGCTGCGTCGACTCGCGGAACGTCTGGACCGCGGCAAGGGGCGTGCTCTGCGACGCGCTCGGATGCGACACGATCGAGGACGCCGAGTACACGACACTACAACGACTCTTTGGCCTCCCCAAGCTCAAGGCCAAGCTCAGCGAACAGGAAGGCGCAGGCAGGACGATCGAGATCTTCACGGGATGGTCTTGGAGATGATCAGCAGTGGGAGATGGAGGATGCAGAAGCACGGGACGAGGATGGAAAGCCTGGAGCGGAGGAGGGTGGTACTGGAGGAGAGGATGAAGTTGAGGGCGGGGGAGCAAGGGGCGGGCGAGGGCAGTAGAGGCTGGGTTCGATTTCCCCCACCCCATCCCACACTCACACCCCCACATCACACATCCTCTTACAAAAACTGTATACTAAATATATTTCTTCATCTTCTTTCTTTTATTACAGGTCTGCCTCCGTTGCTCATGGACCGGCTCGCGATTTGGGATTGACTCGACGGTGGCTCGCGCTCTTTGGCTTCGGGGTTCTGAGTCAAGGGAGGGATCAGCAGACACAGGCAGAAAGTCGGCTTTGAGGGGCCAGGGACTGCTGAGGTGGAGGTTTTGAGGGGCCTCCACCGCGTCTTGTTGTGACCGAGCATAGACTTGGGGACTTCGCGGGTCAGGGTAGCTGCGCAGTCGCTCTCCTGTCTTTGTCTCGACCGAGTTGGGAAGTGGGTGCGGGTGGGCCTCTTGTCGTTAGTACGCCAGTTCTTTTTCATTTCTCTCTTTCTCTTCTCTCTCTCATTCGTCTCCTGGGGGGAGCAACCGCTTGGCTGGGGCACTTGAATCCGAAGTATCGGATTGGTGGACTTGGCCCGTTTCTCGCATCTTGCGGGCGGTTTGTGTTATCATCGTCGACTTCCATCTAGTTTTTCCGTAGGCCAATCAGGGGAACAGGAATTGGGGCAATATGATGAACGGTTTCTACAAAAAAAAAAAAATCA